TTAAAGGTTCCTCCCTATATTCGGCATTTTTATGATTTTTGCAGTATTTTTCTTCTATTTTCTGTTATTTATTTATTTTTTTATATAATTTGCAAATTTCTTCCAGATGTTTGAGGGTATTCAATGTTCGACTCTGCCGAACTTACTGCTGGGTCCGGGATTATTCACAAATTCCCAAGACTTTACTGACGATTATGCGTGTTTGATGAATTAGATAGCTTAAAACATTTTAAGGCGAAATAGTTCTTATTACCTTTGGTATCTGCAAAGTGATTGCCATTCAGGAGATCTACCACTCTCCAACGCTTTCGGGAAAGTGGGAAAGGTCCTTAAATTCCCTATGCAAATCCTTCCTTCTAGTTCAGAGATATTAACTGCCTACTTGTTTTCCCAGTTATTCAATGTTTTTTCGAACGAGGAAAGCAAGCTAACTTTTTGTGCATCTAAAAAATAAGGCAGAAAGTAATAAAACATAATTTTTGTTTTAACAAAACAATTCCTGTGTAAAAGTTAACATCCAACAATAAGAAATATATTTAACAAACAATATAAATTCAACAACTACGCCGAAACTGTCATTACATCAAGTTGCTTAATTCCCTGCAGAACATTTACAGCAATTTTACAAAAATGTTGCCATTATTCACCAGCCTCCTTTGGTAATTACCATTCTTCTTATTAATGAGTTGTTGTTTTCCTTCTGTTCTACTTCTTCCTGAACTTTTTCCCGTGCCATTAGTGCTAAGTATAAATACAAAATTTACAATTATGTTTCTTTTGCCTTTCATTTAACTTCGTCAAATTTTCATGTTTTATTTCCGTTTTCCGCAACATTTAAGCAAAATCTGAACTTTTTTCCGGTTTAATTATATCCCGGGCAATTTATTAGAATCGAAATGAGACTAGTACATTACATAATATGTAGTAGCAGTGGCAGTACGAAATGTTGCAAAAACCCCAAGACACAGCATGGATCCGACTAATTAATGTCATTTGCACTCATAGCCAGTAAATGTTGGCTGTGGGGTGGGAGGTGGCCGCAGGCTATTGGGGGTGATGGCAAAACTTTTACATAGTTGGTTTTTCAATTACCCCAGAGCGAAAGACATAAAGCGGGAGGGGCGAGAGACCTTTAATGAAACAATGTTAAGTGTCGGTTGCTTTGAAATTAAAACGCGACAGTTAAGTCAGTAATGGTGTTGGATGGATGGGGGTTAGGAGACGGGGCTAAAAAACCATAAAATACATAAATTGAAACCATGCAACCAACATTGGTTTTTGCTAATGTTTCTTATTTTGCTTTTATTGTTTTGTGTGTTTCGTGGCGGCGAGTATTCGAATGGATGCGTGTGCCTGTGTGTGTGACGACGATTCTATTTCCACGTTAATTTTCTTTACATTGCTTTTGTTGTAATGACATAATTTCCTATAAGTTGGAAAACACTTGAATTGCTCCACTCTGTTGGCTTGTGGTGACAATTAAGCTCGGGTTTTTTACTCCTTGTCGTAGATGTTTTGTTGTGTTCCTAAAAGAGGAGGAGGAAGAAAATAACAGCCAGGCAACAAAGTGTAAAAGATCCTTAAAATCATTCAAACACATCTCTATGACCTCCTCATGTGTGCACTCAAGATTTGTATGAGGAAGTAGAACTTTGTACTCAAAAGAAAAAAGGATCAAAGGAGACGCTGTTCCATTGTAGTTCAGATGCTTTCAAGTGAAAAAAAAAACGAGTTCCACGTTGAAAGTTAAAGTGTTGAAATAAGTGTTAATACAAATTTGTTGAATGCCATTAAAATGTATGTAGGTCATAAAAATATGTTCCAAAAATAAGGTTAGGAATGAAACTTTCAATAGTTTAAAAAGCCTACTATTTTCTATGACCTCCACTATATTATGGAGGGTATATTATGTTTGTCATTCCGAAAGAAACTCCTCGGAATAAGCATTTTAGACGCCACAAAGTGAAAATACGAGTGGATATGGGTAATCCCTGTACGTAAATATATTTCAGGTACAATTTATTATCGTCCGATTTAAGGTATTTCTGTTGATTTAGAAATTGGTCCATAACCATACCTACTGATAATTAATTTTTAACGGAATTTTCCCATTGTTTGAATTTGGAATTCCCAATCTGTACTACCTTTTTTGCCATATGATTTTCTAAGCCTGAATGTGTAAGAAATACACATGGATAAAAATACAACAACGCTATGTTTAAAACTATAAGTTTGCTGGACAAGAGTAGAAACTGCTCGTTTTAGAACGAATTTGGGTCCCACTCTAAAATTGACAAAGAATTAGAGCGAGTACTAAAAATAGAGTTCTGTTCGTTTAGCCTTTTCTACTGCATGGAGTACCCGAGTTTTTAGGAGGTCTGATTTAAAATGGGGCAGAAACATCAAGAAGCACACAACAAAGATCTTATTGCCCTCTCTTGATGCAGGGACGCTATAGAAAAGGGTTGGGGGCTTCGACCATACATTGAATAACTGCAGGCGGAGATTATTGCAATAAAGAAGGCAGCCGAAATGGTAAAGAACTTTGTTGTTGCATAACAGGGCCAAAGTCATCGAGTCAAGTGCCATCAAATTGACAGCCAATCTTGACTGCAAGAACTTCCGTCTTGAATACGTGAATTCATTAAGCTTTGTTGGGTCCCAGGATAGTGGGGAATTAAGTTGGTGGCGAACTTATTAGAGGTGGTTCCCAGTCGTTTGGCCTACCGATTGAAGGAATATCAAACCACTTTATTATGTCAGCCGATTAAAAAAAGGCTTTGAACGAAAAGCTGGCACCTAGAAAACGGTTGCAAGGTTTCTTGGGCCATCTGGCCGGTATTCTGGTGGGAAAATGCCCTTCTTTCAATTACTAGGTCCAATCTAAGAATCGTGGAAGGCATATTGACTGACCACTGTAAGGAACCATGGTGGTCCCGACGACTGTAGATTATGTGAAGACGAAGAAAAGGTAGAGGTGATTGACTACTGTTTGGTAGTTGGGAGATAAAAACTTTAATGTTCTTCTGAGACGTAGAACACATCATAATCCACGGGTATATATTGGTAAATAAAAATATTGGTATATGAAAAGCTTGAATAAAAATCTGCTTCGCAACTTACGATATTCAATTTGTTATATTTGGTTTTGGAGCTAGAAGAAGTGACAAGGTTAAATTTGTATTAGATACCCCTTTTTTGTCTATATACAATGTGGGCTAACCTCGAACTCAATTTAAGTTTAGTGTTGGTCCACGTTTTCGTATAGCCCCATATAAGAGTACCTCCCAATATTCATTATTTTGAAGATTTTAGCGACATTATCCACCGGAATTGTTTCAAATTTCGTATTTGAAGTTTGAAATGGGCCCAGCATCCTATGACGGAAAATTGTATATGCAGGTCCAAGTTTTCGTATGGGCCCCAGACGACGGTATCTCCCTATGTTCGGTATTTTCATGATTTTAGCGAATTTTTTCAGAAATTTTCCAGAAATGTTCAAATATCGTATTTGTATATCCCCCATATAATGGTGTCCATTCAGAATTTTTTTTTGAAAATTTCAATGTTCTTCCAATTGGTGGAGGGTAGCCGAATATAGCTGCCTTTTTACTTGTTTTGTTTGCCTCATAGAGGGATTGAACTGCATATTCTCTGATTGGCAGTCGAACACACAAAAGTAAACCAAAACCACCTATCAATTTGAATTAAATAATTAATTCATATTCTTTAAGATTAAGTTATTATGTTCTTATATTTGTAGTAATATTGAAGAGCTACATGACAATATGACGATGCTTAGTTGCAACCTTCAAAGATGCTCCAAATATTCACTTTCTTACCAAATAACTCGAAACAATTATAATTAACCAAACCCTTTTGCTATCTTCCTAACCTCCAAGTATATTTTTTATTAATCCACAGCCACAAAATTCAATACTTATTTCCCCTACAGCCTTGAACTTTAGATCATATGGTTTAATCGTAGTCATTAAACGACACCCCCGCCAACTGGAATGAAACACACATACATACAAATAAAATGCTGCCATACAACTCGTTTACCTCCAGGGACCACTTTCGCTAAATAGAAATAAAAACCTCTGGCACATTTCAAATGAATAGATGGCATTTATGGCCAACGTTAAGGGCCCTGTAACCCCTTTCGCAGCAAGAGTTTTCGCTTTTCTTTTGGAAAAATAATAATGTGTCCTCAAGGCATAATTTCCGTTGTTTTTTATAAACGCCAAAGATGTTCGGAATATAAAACTCTTTTAAAAGTTTTCATTTTCCTCTATGGTTAGATCTTTTATATGTCAATACAGTAAAAAAGTTATTTTCGTAAAATTTTGAAAATCATAATTTGAATATCCACATTGAGAGAGAGAAAAAAAAAAACAATTAAACTATAATGTTACATTCTGAATGCGGAGTCTTGCCAAGAAACATATTTCAAATATATAGGTTTTTTTCAGAGTATTGGGTTAAAAAAAAAAAAAAAAAACTTTTTGACAATACTGAATTGAAATTGAAATTTGGGCACCATAATTTTATGTCAAAATCATATATGTAGGGCTGAATAAAATTTATTCAGAGAGGTCAATATCCATACCACCATCGTAATGTATAATAATTTTTTTTTCTTTGTTTAATAAGGACAATATATAACAATATACTTTGAAAATTCACTATAAAGTTTCGAATTATTTAAAAATGTTTATTAAATAAAACTTCCCATGCCATAACAAGAACGTAACCAATAACCTTAAACCACTGTATCCGGCTATCAAAAAGTGAATCTTATTTTGTATTCAAACCAACAACGACTACATCTCCTTAATTTGCTTATATCTGCAAAATACAAATCCATTTGTAAACATGTAAAACACTTTTTTTGTTGCTTTCGTTGTGACTTGTGCACACACACACACAATGATGTTTATTTTATTTGATTTGTTTTCTTTACATCGCTTTTTTTCTTTTTTGCTCCATCTTTTCAGTGCAACGAACAACTTTCCTCCGGTGACATTGTGGTCTTTGCCCAGCGTCTGGGCGCACAAGTCTGCTGGCATCCTGCCTGTTTTGTGTGCTGTGTCTGCAAGGAATTACTGGTGGATTTAATATATTTCCATCGTGATGGTAACCTCTATTGCGGACGACATCATGCTGAAACCCAAAAGCCACGTTGCTCGGCATGTGATGAGGTAAGCTAAACTTAAAAATATACTGTTTTTGCTCTTGCTCTCCCGATTGGAGTGAAGGTATACATCTGCCAAAGCGACTGCTGCTGCAGCTTCGGTGACAGCCGTAATTTGTCTGTCCGTTGGCAGAGCATTTTTTTGAATGTCATGCCAATCCTTCGTTTGCCAACAGATTCCATATCTCAAAAGCAAACCGAGATGATTCTGGTGCTAAGTAGTTTTTTTACGATGCATTATTATATTTAATATCATTATGGGGGATTTTGGCTTTAATTTGATTGCTTTAAAGCAAATACAATAATAAAACTTACTTGTCCGTCGCACAGAGTGACGTCAAGCTTAGGTAGTTAGCAATTTAATTCATAAAAATCCATTTAGGAAAAATGTAGAAAAAAAAAAGGTGGAAAGAATGTTAGCTTGGACGTTTAAACATAACCGATTAAACTTTGGACGCCGCTGGGCAGTCACATCTAAAGGTTTTGTTTTGAGATACCAAAGAATTTTAAATTTTGATGTATAATAAAAAAATAAAAAAAAGGCAGTTTACTAAATTTGTGGAAAATAACACTAAGCGACAAAATTTAAATTTTCTCCATAATTACAGGAAACACCGAGTAGATTATGAAATTGAGTCAGATAATGAATTTGTTTTTGAAATTTTCGAATTAAAGTTGGGCAAAATCGGTTTCCGTCCGACCATTGGTTTGTGCATCAAAACACCAAAAGTGTTTTGGGTTCTCATGCCGAACTAATTTTAGGACTCTTCGTGTAAAATACTACTTCCAAAAATGTGAAAAGTCCTACCCACATATCCTGCAGTAGTTTAAAATATAGAATTATATTTTAGAATGATCCAGTCATTGACTTTCTCAATTTTCTGTTTATTAACAGGGACACATAAAACTTCGATCCGACCGACCTTAACACAGAGAGTTTCGAATGAACATGATGAACATAAGAGTTTCGAATGTTTTTTGTTTTCTCTTTAATTTGGATCTGCTAGCTTTAATTTTGTAGGAAATATCCTTGAGTATAACTCAACAAAAAAAAATTCCGAATAGATCCATTATGAAATTCTATTCATAATTAAATGCCAATTTTTTTCTGACCGCCATGTCAGAAATGTTGGAAATTCACGAATTACAAAGAAAGTTTTAATTAAAACCTCTGATTTTATTTGATTTGTGTATGTTCCCCTTCGTTCACCAAAAACCAAAGATAACCAATTTTAATACTATTAAGTACTTTTCGTTCCATTGTTGAACGCATTTCCAAAAAATGTAATAACATTTTGTACTTTTCGTAATTTTTGTCACTAAAAGTGACCCTAATACAAAATTTCAGATTCCCAACTCTATCCCTTCCGCATACACAAAATTTGGTACCATTTAACCATTTCGAACTTTATTGTACATATTTCTAAAACCACCTTTAAATCTCAACCCTACCCAGCTCCATCCGTTCATCCAAAACTAAAATGTACGAACTACCTACTTATTTCAACCCTCTTTTCCCAAACTTGAAATTTGTACCTCTATAGGGTCACATAATTCCAAATGGTACCAAATTTCAAAATTGTACCTCTATAGGTTCACATAATTCCAAATGGTACCAAATTTTCAAAAATCCTGCTATATCCCTGCCGCAAATAGCAAATTTATTACCTTAACTAATTTTTAATTTTTTTTAGTACGTATTTCCCTAACCACCTTTAAATAACAACCCTAGACACTAACAGTGATCCTATTGCCAAATTTCAGATTTTAAGCACTCTCCTATCAACAAAAACTAAATGTGGTACTATTTAGAACTTTTCATATACTTGTAGTACACTTTTCCAAAAATATCTCCTAATAACAACCCTACATTCCAAACTTACTTCTTATACCAAATGTCAAGATTTTAACTCTTTCCGTTCACATAATACTAAATCTCAAACATAGTCGTACATACCCACCCCGTACGTACATACGTGCCCTCTTTAACCGATTCTAAATTAAGTACTATTTTGTCCTTTCCATTTCAAGCTATCCGTTCAGCCAATACCAATTTTAGTACTTTTTAATACTTTTCGTACTTTTTTATAGTACATTTTGCCAAAACCGCTACCATATCTCAACCCCAACTCACAAAAATCGATTCTAATACTAAATTTCTAATTTTAGAACTCAATCTTCCGTACTTATATACTTCCCCAACATAATTCTCATATCAAATGTCATGATTTTAGCTCCAAATACCAAATGTTACCAAATTTAGTACTTTTTGTTTCGCCTTTGATGAATCAGTTCATCAGTCAGTCGCTTATCAATCTATTCTTTTTTATAAGAACTATAAATGCTCTAAAATAACTCCCGATTTTCTTTCTATCTCTTTCAGATCATTTTCTCCGACGAGTGCACCGAGGCAGAGGGTCGCACCTGGCATATGAAACATTTCGCATGCTTCGAGTGCGATCACCAGCTAGGAGGTCAACGATACATAATGCGCGATGGCAAACCGTACTGTCTGAGTTGCTTCGACACCATGTTCGCCGAATACTGTGATTATTGCGGCGAAGTTATCGGTGTCGATCAGGGACAAATGTCACACGATGGCCAGCACTGGCACGCCACCGATCAGTGTTTTTCATGTTGCACATGTCGTTGTTCGCTGTTGGGACGACCGTTCCTGCCGCGTCGTGGAACCATTTATTGTTCGATTGCCTGCAGTAAAGGTGAACCGCCAACGCCGTCTGACACCAGTTCGGGACCACAGCTAAGGCCAACGCATCGTGCCAGCACCACCAGCCAAATTGCCAGATCACCACGTCCGGGTAAGGGATCGCATAGTAAAGATCGCCATGGTGGTAAGAGCTCTGGTAGTGCGGGCGATCTTTTGGAACGCCAGGAAAGACAAAGAAGAGAAGATTTGGGCCGACTAATGCTTGCCCGTAATATGGAAGCGGTGGGAGTGCCTGGTATACCCAGACCTGCCCATCCGCCACCCATTGATCTTACAGAGTTGGGTATAAGCTTAGATAATATATGTGATGGAGATAAAACAATATTCGGTGATCCCAATATTACCGCCTCCCTACCCGATATGTTGGTGTCCAAAGGTGAAGATTCTCACAGTTATCAGAGCATTGATAAAATCATGCTAAACTCACCCACTGCTTCCGACATGACCCAATCCACCCAAGAAATCACCAATGAATTAGATCTGGATAATGAAAACGACAATGGCTTCAATAGCTCACCCCAAGATAATTATGAACGAATTAAAGACGATATCGACGACGATGATGATGACGACGAGGATGAGGAAAATAATCGCCACCCCACTAAAGAGGTACGCTTCCATAGCATACAAGACACCATGTCGCGTTCCAAAAGCTACACAGACAACTCGAATGCCAGACGTCGTCGACGCAAACGCAACCAATCACGTAGCAACTCCGAAATGCAAATCAATCAGACCAATTTGCGATTGCACAATGCCCAGACTCAGGCGGGTTCGAGTGCCGTAAGAAATTCGGATAATTGTGATACAGCCAGCATTTGCTCCACATGTTCGTCGAGTTCGTCCAGTGATATGGACGACTATGTTTACCGTTTGCCGGCACGCAAACACTATGGCGGTGTGCGTGTCTCGTATGTCCCGAACGATGCTATCGCTTATGAGAAAAAGAAGAAACAGGCCATGGAACAGGCAAACACATACAGCAGTGGTAGTGGTGGTGGCGGTGTAACAACGGCCAACGCAACTGGACCAATGGCTATGAGCAGTACCAATTCGACTATTGGCACTGGTGGGGATGGCAAGAATTGCATAATATCATGACAACCTCCGATTTTGCCACCACCACCATTCAATCTCAGCAGCTATTACATCCTGGACACCATACTGGAGGAGGAGAGATTTGTGGCCATAGAAAAGAAACCTGGTTGTTTTAGACGTTTCTGGAATATATTGAGTTCAAGTAAAAATAAGCAGCAATCGAAGCATTTAGAAAATGTTTAAGTTGCATCCAACTCCATAGATATAGACAGACTAGACTAGAGGATAGCATATAAACCTACTGAAGACTGCAAAGTCATGTAACTTTCGTACACAATTTAAAAATTGTACTCCTGTAATCAATGAATTCGGAATGTTGAATGTATCTGTACATATTCGTATATAGACGTAGATTTACACACCAAATAGACCATATCTGATTCGCTGTATCGGAATAATGTAAAATTTAATTGTTAAGTTATTTCGTATTTCATCATATCAGAGTAAGAGAAGTCAGTTTACAAATTATGTCAAGTTAAGTTGTTGTACACTGATCCATAATGCTAAACATTAATAAAAAGAATAAATGATTATTATAATGTATGTCATTTAAAAATACAAAGTGGTTATTTTTTTAATTTGAACAAAAACAACTAATATGGGTATGTAATCTTAAGCCCATAGTGAGGAGATTGACACATAGTGACTTTTTCAACATAAATTGTAAAACTTGTGCTTGTAATCAAAATACAACATTTTTTATTTGGCTTAAGAAGAGTCCCTATAGGAATCGGTTTGAACTTGATAGTTTACATCCGTCCGAATAAAATTGATTCGCCCAACCGTAGTAACATTGTCACATTTGCTGAAAATCAATTAAGATGTAACAGTATCTCCCACGGCCCCTAAAACCTCAAAAACACTCAACCGACCAATTGCAAATTGTGTATATTCATATAAAAACAAATGAAACGGCTCGGGTGCTTATTGTCCTGACCGGACAATATTTGATAGAGTTCCAAAATAAAAATATAGGATACCGTTACATAAGGGCTAGAGGGAAACAGGGGGATCCGTTACATAGGGCTACAATATAGACTATGTTCGGCAAACGCAGGTAGAAAATATCACGAACGGCAGATACCGAATTTACCGAAAACAAATATAACCTTATATTTGACTAAATTAAAACGTAGATCTATATACAGGACGAGACAAAAAAACTACAACAAAGTCAAAAGCCACAATTTTTACATTTTTTTTTTAATTTTATTGAATGAAAGCAAATAATGTCGAAAATAGTATCAAAGTTTAGAATAAGTTTAGATTTCTCCGAATTGGTCACCTTTGGCACGAATTATGGCCTTCAAGGCCAATGAAACCGTTGCCCGAATATTGCTCTGCAATATTTTGGCTCATTCTCAGAGAAGCTTGAGGTGAACGACACTTTGGTATTTTTTAGTGCCAAACTTGCTTTCCAAATACTCCAGACACAATAGTCCAACGGATTGGTATCCGGAGATTTTGGTGGCCATTGCGCGCTGGAAATGAAGTGAGGAATCTCATTTTATAAACATTCTTGGGTGGCGCGTGCTGAGTCCTGTTGGAATGTCCAAGGACTGTGGTCAAAATGTTTGGGTGGCCAAGGCTTTAATACACCCTCCAGAATATTTTCGCGATAATATTCGGCATTTATTCTGAGTCCACGGTCCATTAATACGGGGAGCGACCATCGGCTGTTATGGTGGCCCACACCATCACCATAGCCGGCGCTTGAGTTCTGGTGACCAACCGAAGGTGCACATTTTCAACTGACCTCTTTGACAAGTAAACACGATCATTTTGTTTGTTTACAAACTGCTGAACAACGAAAAGCAAAGCAACTCTTTAACTCTTTTGAGTCTATTTTCTTTCTGTTGCGGTGTAAGTTCTAGCACTTTTTGGAATTTCAATGACTTTACCCCGAGCTCATTTTTCAATGTTTGCCGAATGGAGCCATTTTTCGGCACAGCGACGCTGGTTTCAATCAAGTCGATTCTTTACTTTTCGAACCATGTCTGCTGATGTTACTCTTTTCTTCCGTCCACTTTCTTGACGTCGGGTTACGCTACTAGTGTCACGGTAATGAGCGATGGTACTAGACACAAAAGATTTAATTACATTTAAATGCTGGAGTGCTCTAACAATAGCCGATTGTGGTTTTCCAGCCAAATATAAAGAAATCACACTATCACGATTGAGTTCCATCACGAATAACTTTTTTCTGGAAAATTCTCACCAAAATGCTTTTGTACGCTTGTAAACAATATAATGATCAGTCACTTTAATAATTACAAGAGCTGTCGAACGAGTGGCTTAGAAATGACAGCAGTCTGAAGTTGGTTGCAGGTTTTTCATCTCACCATATACAATACATTTTATGATGGAGCATATACAAATTTGGAAAGGATAACAGTGCGGTATACATCGCTGTTGCCTTTTGTTTGAAATCATTTTAGGAAGAAAACTAGATTGCAGAATTTAAAACCTGTTAAAAACTTTCTGTGTACAAGGCTTGACTGTTCTTTCCCTAAAGAGATATGTAATCAACAGTAACAGTAACATAAGCTATAAAATTATTTGAAATTTCACTAAGAATTGGAGGTATAGGACCAGGATCGAAGGTACATCAAATAAATTTAGATTTTGTATGCGCATATCTATTGATCGGTTATAAATACAGTCTTTTAAGTTGGTATATTTAAGGGAAATTGGAAAAGAAATAAATTCGCATTATATTGAAACCGGTTCCGCTTTGGATATAGCTGACATATATATCACTTCGTTCGATTTCGTATATTTGGTATACCAAACTCGCTATGTATGTCAAGTTTCAATGACGTATTGAATGTGTGACGGAATTTGGTCTAAAAATGAATTTGTCAAATAATAATGAAATCGGTTCAGATTCGGATATTATTTTATTAAAGAAAATAGACCCATCACACCTTTACAATGATATTAGTTTAACGGTAAAAAACTGCAAAACGATTCAAGTGAGGCTACGATGATTTCGGTGAATCATATAGGTTCAGTTATATTACAAACTCAAATCCCTCTAAAAGTAAGAGAAATGCCGTTCAACTTTAAAAGAATATTTGGAGATCGTAATAGGCACCGCCGTCTTTGACAGATAAATAGCTGAACAGGTCCACGGTGTCGTGTAGAGCTCATATAGCTGTACCTCGAGATATTCGATATTGTGATGATTTGTGTCTCAGTTTTCAGCGGATTTTTTTTCAAATTTGGTATTTGGAGTTTAGCTGCTTTATTGCTTGTTTTTTTTTTTTTCAATAATTTTGTGATTTTAACCAGATCGATTTTCCTTCTTTCATATACCTTCTTAATTCTGGATATAAAAAGTGTGAATCGTCAGTTGTACTAGAAGAACTTCTCATACTTGCTGTAGCATGGGTTGATATAAGAATGTGAGAAGTTTGAACAGAATTAGACACAATTTTTACAAGAGTTACTATAACTCAAAATTTTGATCTTTTAAGCGGGAGGTACAGGAGGTAGTAGGCCAACTCATATATCTTATTTATTTATTACGATGTGCCAGTGTTTGACCTATATCGGATACCTCCGTCACTCAATTGGTATATTCCAAAACAGCAGGAATGTAAAGTTTTTACCACGATAACCGATTTGTGAAATGCAAAACAAGTAGATTCTTGCAGGTTCTGGAACAGAGCAAATATGAGATTTGCATTTTTTGTAAAGATTCGAGATTTTTTTTGGGAGGCACCAAAAGGAATGGACCTACATTATCCATAGTCGAACTCGACCTAAGTTTGATATAAATTTTACGATATGAGTGCTAAAATACTATAGTTATATAAAATACTCTAATTCGATAGTGTCATGCCCTCCGATTTATTTCTACAGGTGGACGTTGTAATCCATATAGATCTCTTAATGCTTAAATTAAGGCAAGCAATGCCCCTTCAAGTTTTATGTACATATTTTGATCATTATATGCATTTATGTCTCCAGTGTACACAAATTTACTTAAAATAATCTATTTACTGAAAATATGTGTTAAAAACTAATATCAATCCTGCCAATGCAAATATTTTACAATAAGAGAATTAAAATGAAATAAAAAAGAAACCCAAATCAATAAACAATCTAAAAATATGACTTCATTGCCTCAGAGCTGTAAATATTGTGAGTTATATAAAAAATATATATATATCAAAGAAGAAACTTCCATATCGTATTTTATATTTTACACAATTATATAACTCGAAAAACAAAAACTGTACAAATCTTAAATATCTAAAATGTATACACACCTACATACATACATATATTCGTATTTATATGTACTAAGAAATATTTATACTGAAGACAGGAATCTTGTGTTTTTGTTTTTTCTTTTATATTTTAAAAAGATTAACACTTAACATAACTTAGATGAACTAACAACCTTGTAGAGTTGAATTCACCGAGACGACACTGACTTATGACACATAATACAATAGGCAGTTAATAGAAAATACTCATAGACATACAGACATACAACGAAACAATATCAAAAGAATAGTTTATTAGTTCTTTGTTAACCAAATACAATAATAAATGAATTTTAAATTAACTAATAATAGAGAAAACAACAACACTTCCACAGAAACGAATTCCATAGAAATATGTTTACAACGAAAGTAACAATAATTTTGAACATAAAAACGAAAGTTCTATTATGCAAAAATTTGTTTTTTTGCCAAGAATTACAAAAGAAAATATATGTGGCCCCTGGCGTCTATTGTGAGCTCAGCACGCACACACACACACACACCGAACAAATGATTGTTGGTCGCCAATTTAAAGATCGACTAAAGTTGAATGGTTTCATATTCGCGCATCCACCAATCGAAGGTTATTAATCGAAATCTTAAAATGCTAATTCTTTCATTGGCAAGGGAAAAGTGAAGAGGCGTGAAAACCCCCCTATTGTCTCAGTTGTAGCACTTCCATTATACTCATAAAAGGTTCGGTATTTTATCCAAATTAATGCATTCTACTATTGTTAATAAGAGATGTGCGTGTTATTGATAATTTAATTTAAGTTTTACCTTCGAAGAAGTTGTGTTCAATTTGAAAGACTTTCTTTTCTTATCAAAGATAGTTTTGCCATTAAAACAATAGTTAAATATATCTGTGCATACAAGTGTATAATAATACTATATATATATATGCTAGTAATATATTACGTTTGTTCAAACCCTGTTTTCTATTCCCAAATTGCATTGTTTTGCTTATATTTTCATTAGATTGATATAGATTTTTTTGATTTACAAAGGTCATAAATATACATTATAGCAATAAACCCATAGTCGATGAGTCATTCCCGTTGTCGAAATTGATTTCGAAAACTAGTAGTTAATGCTGGAAATAGCCATTGAGTTGTGTTTATGTATTATAATATTAGTTTTTCAGATTATAAGAATTCTTATTTGTGATCAATTTCCTTTAGTGAAATAAGTTCTTTTTTATATATGAATATATCATTACACACTAGAACTTAAGTGTATAAAATTATTAAATAACAAAAATAAAGGAAAATATGTTATATACTGTGAATT